CTCTACACTCACCATAGGAAACACAGCAGCATTAAGCTGTTATTTTACGCTGGTATTCTGTGAGAGCGTGGTCCTTCCCCTGTCGAACCGACCCATTCGTGTTACAACTATACTAGAAATATAGGTGCTGATTATTGATTATTTTTAGTAAGTAGCTTTTTTCCAAAATGGTTACTTGTTCTGTGAGCGACTGTGGTGTTAATAATATAAATAATCCTGATAATTGCACATGTCAAAAAAATTCTCAAGACGTCAATGTTACGACGCGTTTATTTTTGGTTAAAATTTATGTTATAAACTGTTTAAAATATAGAAAATGTTCAATTATATAGTTGAATTTTATGTTTTGCGAAAAAAAGAGACGTTGTTGATAACATGCATGATTTTAGTAAATACATTTTAAACAAAATGTTTTACATGTACGCTAGGGGTTGACTCAACTATATCAAAATTATAGTGTCGATGTTTATTTTGAATATTTATATTTTATAATGAACCGATAGACTTTGCCCACACAACAAGAAGAGGAATGAAAGTAAATGCTCGGTTTGCGTTCTAAAATGTAATTTTCTTTTGCTGTTAGAGATTCTCTCCGGATTCTATAATTAGAAAAAAAATGGTTAAGGTTAATTTGGCTGGTTGGTGGGAATAAAAAGAAGAACTCAACAATTTGCAGAAACATTTTCTTGAGAAGTTTAAAAGAAAAAGTAGAATAGAAACGATTTTATTAAAAGGAGCCATTTCTACATTATTTGTACTAGTAAATACAGTAAATATAATATGTTCAGATATTGTATTTATGATCGAACAATCATCAGTATTGATCGAACAAATGATATTTCATCATCATCATCATTATTGTAGCCCTTCACAAGTCTACGGTTGAACATAGGCCCCTACAAGGAATGCCACAAAGCACGGTCCCAATCCACCTACATCCCTTGACTTCCTGTATGTCTTATCAGGACGTCACTCCATCTAGTGGGGTAACGCACTACACTTCGCCTGCCGGTACGAGGTGGCCACTCGAGAACCTCTCTTCCCCATCGTTTGTCGGTCCTTCGAGCTATATGGCCGGTCCATTGCCACTTCGGCTTACTTATACTTTGGCCTATGTCTGTCACTCTGGTTCTACTGCAGATATCCTCGTTTTTAAGTCTATCATCTAGAGAAAAGCCGTGCTGAGCGCTTTGAGCTTCCTCATACGGCCAGCAGTGAAGGACCACGTCTCAGATACATCGGTCATCACTGGCAACATGCATTGGTTGTACAATCTAGTTTTGAAGGTTTGAGGTCTGCCTGACGTGTATATGTGTCGTAATCTCCTAAACGCTGCCCAGCCGAGTTGAATCGTGTTGAAGAGTGTGATCGGTGATTTTTTGTATTCTTCTGCAACGGGTCTTACAGAACTTAGCTCTAACCGCATGGACAGAATCCACAAGCTTGTCATTTATATCGTCCACTTCATAGCAATCTTCTAGACACTAAAAACGATTTTGTAAATCGAGCTGAATGTTTTCGGGGCTTTGGATTAGAGCATGAGTAGGACGCAGCATTGACTTCATTAGACGTGACCTCTCCAACTTAACGTTTAGGTTCTGTGTGCCTCTCAACATTCGATGATCGCTGCCGGTTTTCACCCTCGCGATCTAGAAAGATTTTACCGAGTTTTCATTACGATGTCATTACCTTTAAGTAATGCTATCGTAGAAAGAATTTTCAGCGTGATGGGTACGATAAAGACAAAATTAAGAAACAGAATGCAACTACCCATGCTGATTTAAATTCTTAGAATCCATACATATGAATCTCCTAAATATTTGCTGCAACAATTTTCAACTAAGCAATCATATGAACAGTTTACATGCTGGAAGGAAAATGTACGTTTCCAGTTCCAGCGAAGGTTGTGCCAGCACCAGCACAGTAGAGGCTATAGAAAATTTTGACGTTGAAAGACTTGCTCATGCTTTGTTGCTGCTGGCAGCAGATGATGATTGCTGATTTTTTAAAATTTGATACTCTGTGTACATCTTATGAATAAACAAATTGTTAAAAATTATGTTTTCATTTATTCATAGCGAAATTTTGATGTTTGGACTACTTTAGGCTACCTCAGCTCAAATTCGGCTATATTAGGCTACTAAATCTGTAAAAAATGGCGATATCAGGTTCCAAGTTGTTGGCAACATTGCCCGTTGCTATCACACACCATAGGAGTTTTTGGCGGGAAATTGACCGGCGGCGGTTTGCTGCTCCTGTATTATTGTTTAAATAATGGTTTGAAGTGGACTTTGATATGTAAAAGTGTTGCGATTTTGTGTATTAAGTGTCTACGCATGTGAACTATTAGTGGAAACAGTGAAACAAGTGCTCTGATGGTGATGGATTCTCAAGATAAGCTGTTTGTTTGCATAGGCACCTTTAGATACCATCGCCAACTATCAGCTGTCTGCTGGATCAAGTTGCCGCCAAAATCTCCCAAGAACTGCACAATGTGACGCATCAACATATTGTGAAGCAGTATACTATGAAGGAGTGGGGAAATTACAATAAACCGAATAAAAATACTTAAGACTTGGCCTAAAGGTCTAGATACCAGGCCATAAACTCCAAAAAAAAAAATCACACACCATAGACTTAGAATATACTTCTAACTCTATGGCACAGACATAGAGCGAATACCATAGAGAATATAATAACTATGAAATGTACGTTTTCATCAGGGGTGTCCACTTTGAAAATACATCGATGTCTTTTTTCGATGTTATGCATCGAAACTGTGCATCGATATATTCCGATGCATCGGTTAAAAACATCGATGTTTTTTCAACATCGAGTACTTTTTCTGACTTCAAACAACCGACAATTTTGAATGATCTACTACTCTTACATCAGTACTGTCTGCCCGCACGCCTTTTGTGAGTGTGTATGTGTGTTCAAGGATGTTAGTTTGATAGATAGATATTCTTAATTGCATGACACACAAAGTGTCTTATTCGTAAGAACTAATATATTGTTAACAGACGTAAATATTCATAGTTATTTATTTGTATTATTTATATTTGTATGTTGATGTGTATATATGTATGTATAAGTCTGTATGCATATATTTGTATATATGCATAAATAGGAGATATTTCTATAGTATATTTGTTTTATATATTTGTAAAATTAATATATAACTTAGTTAATTATCATTTTTATTTTGTTATTATTTTATACTGCTATACATACGTCAAATTCTCGTGGGTTGACTGGTAGATTTTTTTTTGTATTATTCCCTTTGTATTCTTTTATATTAAGGAATGCAATAAAGAATAAATAAATTATTATTTATGATCATTCACCTAATACTAAATGGACGGCGGATCTAGAACAAAATTCACGAATAATGTGTCCCGAGTCAACCTATACAAACGTATTATATATAATTTTACTTGCGACTATTTATCAGCCTTTTAACTTCAACCAGAGGCTGCATTCTTTTCGCCTTATGAAGCTTTTAGCGAAAATTATCGGTATGGTTTTTTGTTTTTACAATTAATGTGAATTTAAATTAAATACTACGTATCTTGTATCTAAACAAAATATTTTTAAATTATTAAATATTAATAGTCTAATATAAATAGTATCGAAAAAATATATAAATAGTTTTAATCGTTTTGTGATACTGTACGGCAATTTGGAGTGTATTATCGGGCGACAAAACGAAGACTGGCGTTCAATTCGAGCTCTTTTTGGAACTCTTTTGGCTCGGACACTTGAGCGCATAGCCGAGGTCCATTTAGTAGTAGGTCAATGTTTATGATATTATTTTAAATGATAAAAAATGATACATTCACAATAAAAAATACTTACATATGGAATACAACTCCATCTTTTTGTAAACTTTAAGTATTTGACTGCTTTATGCACACGTTAACCGCACCGATTGGCATTTTTCAAAAAACACCTACTTCGGCGGAAATGAGTTTTATAAGGATATAAATCTAGTGCGTTTATAAAAACGATTCCGTAAGCAGGTTTAATCAACGCACAAGATTTTTAAATTCAATACTTTGGCGGAGGGCAATAATCATGCGAGGCGAGTCCACTGTGTTAAATGGTCTAAAGGCGTCAACTCACTTGCCTGCCGCAGGAGCAATCTAGGGTGTAGAAGTGGGGATTACCCTTAATTTCCTCCTTAATTGTGATGTGTGTATGAAAGCAGGGGTAATTTCCTAAGTCGGCCCTGTGGCTGGGCGGCAGGGGCGCAAGAACTTCCTTGCTCCCTAGATCATAGCTACCGCTGCCACGTGTGTAGCGCATTTGAACAATTTCAATCAGTTCGTTAGTGACTTTCGCGCGCAGCACACTTCACAATAGATATCAATAAAAAACGTGAAATTAGGACACTGGTGATAGATGTGTATAAACAGCGGCTTCTTCACCCATTTTCTCTCTTTTTTTTTTTTTACGACAGCACTGCAAGCAAACTGGCGCCATTCTCAACGCATGTATCCACCGAGATGTACACTTTCATACTGAACGGCAGGCATGTGTATAAAGAGACAATTCTGATATTGTCCCGATCGCTGTTCATCCTAGATTGCCCTGCGGCATGCAAGTGAGTAGCCGCCTTAAAATCGAGACAGACCAGACGATTTTTTTTGATTCTCTTTAGCACAGTGTTGCCAACCAGCCAATTTCTTGATTCCGCTAAGGACTGACAGCTGCTAAGTAGCGCCACCAACAGGTTTAATATTATAACTTCTAAATCAGAGCGCTGTTTTTCTGATTTAGACGTTATAATATTAATAGTGATATAAGTATACCCTTTTTACCATTGGATGGTTATCATTGATTCGATGTTTTATGAAAATACATCGATACATCGAGTATATCAATAACTTTCCAAAACATCGGATCCGTTCGATGCATCGTATTGTAAACATCGAGTGAATTCGATGCATCGATGTATATCGAATATCCCTAGTTTTCATTATAACCCTAAGGGTATTAGTGTTCTGTGATTATAACCAATTTTTATAAAGCAACGGTCGCCATCTTGTTTTGCCCATGGCGTCTGAAAGCGTTTTGTGAAATGTGCTGCTGACTTAGTCGTAGTTTCTGATAATTGAACTAATATTTACATATTTTTCTTATAAAGTTTATTATTACGTGCTGATTTTCTTCCAACAAAGTTTCGCTTGAGTCTTTAATATGGGACGAGGAAGGTAACAATTAAAATTATGTTACGACAATTTATATTACTTAATAATTTATTACTTACATTATTAATTAAAATGCGTTTGTCAATCAGAGATCGTAGCCGTGATAGACGTCGCAGCCGAAGCAGAAGTAGGAGCAGAAGCCGTAGTCGAAGTCCCCGTTATGGTTTAGGATCCGGCGGTGGATATGGTGGAGGTGGTGGACGCCGTAGCAATCCAGGAGCAAGTTTGCGTAAACCTAAATGGGATTTGAGTAGGCTAAAGCCATTTAAGAAAGACTTTTATGTCCCTCATCCAGATGTAGAAAGCAGACCAGATTCTGAAGTTGAAGCTTGGAGAAGTGAAAATGAAATTACACTAAAAGGTCGGAACATTCCGAAACCTACCTTGACATTTGATGAAGCTGGATTTCCTGATTACGTTATGGACGAAATTGACAAAATGGGATTTTCGAAGCCTACGCCCATTCAAGCTCAAGGATGGCCTATAGCTCTTAGTGGGTGTGATATGGTTGGAATTGCTTCTACTGGATCTGGTAAAACGCTCTCTTATATATTGCCAGCTATTGTTCACATAAATCACCAACCTAAATCTAGTAGAGGTGATGGTCCTATTGCATTAGTTTTAGCCCCAACTAGAGAATTAGCCCAACAAATACAAGAAGTGTGTGATAAATTTGCCAACACATCTAAAATACATAACACTTGTTTATTTGGAGGTGCTCCTAAGGGGCCTCAAGCAAGAGACTTGGATGCAGGGGTGGAAATTGTTATTGCTACTCCAGGGCGTCTATTAGATTTTTTGGAAAGTGGAAGAACTAATTTAAAGAGATGTACCTATTTGGTCTTAGATGAGGCTGACAGAATGTTAGATATGGGGTTTGAACCACAGATTAGAAAAATTATAGAACAAATTAGACCTGATCGTCAGACCCTTATGTGGTCAGCTACATGGCCAAGGGAGGTACAAAGCTTGGCTTCTGAATTTCTTAAAGATTATCTTCAAATTAATGTTGGTTCTCTGCAGTTAGCTGCAAATCACAATATTTTACAAATTATTGATGTTTGTATGGAGTATGAAAAAGAAACAAAATTAAGTACTCTTCTAAAAGAAATTATGGCTGAAAAAGAAAATAAGACTATAATATTTATAGAAACAAAGCGTCGCGTGGATGATATTACTAGGAAAATGAAAAAGGATGGGTGAGTTATATTTACTTCAAATCTAAACTGAGTTTTGATTTTAACCATCTTCAAAAAAGTGAGAAGTTAACAAATTGTCAAATTTTATGCATTATATCTATATCTATTTTGTCATGGTTAATTATCAATAGTGTTTATTTTATTTAAATATTTAACTTTAGCAGTGTTCAATATTGAAACTGAAACCAAATCTGTTGATAATTGAAATGTTTTTAGTTTTTTTTACATATCCAATTAATTATCTTTGTTCTAAATAAAATTATGTTGAAAAAAAAATTGTTTACAGGTGGCCTGCTGTATGTATTCATGGTGATAAGTCACAAAATGAACGAGATTGGGTATTGCAAGGTAATTGATTGTCCATTACAGGCATGAAGAAGTGTTTTGTTACATACATTTTGAATATGATATCTTATTTATATATATTTAATAAATTTAAAAATTCTTTACTCAAACTATTGAGAGCATAATATAGTGAAGTATTAACTGGCAATCGAGAAGCGGTATCGGATGAAGGGTTTGAGTGCCTTGGATGGGGAGGAATTACATAGCAAATAAACAGTTGCTGAGCATGTGTCTGCATGTGCAGGCCGTGGAGACTGCGGCTGGGCGGCGGAGGCGGCGGCAAGCGTGCAAACGTCGCCGCTAGTCATCGGCGGCGGCGAGACGCGCCTGCGGCCGCGTCCGCATCGCACCGCCTCTAGTTGACGGGGCTAAGCCCTATGCACTCTGACTTGCCACCGCGGCTAGTCTGAGCCGCTTCTCGCGCGTTCGGCGCGGTGGGGTACGCCCCCTCGCCGATTGCTGTGCGCCGTCGACGGCGACGGTGCGCAGGCCGAGCGCTCCAGGCCCGCACGCGCGCCTGGTCTGGCGCCTCTGTTCTCTCTTGTGCCGCCCTGGTCGGCCTCGCTCTCACTTGTTTTTTTTTCACGAGTAATAACCACTGTTATTATCCATTGGAATTTTGTTCATTAGTAAGTTTCCTCGAAAATAACACTTGTAAAAATATTTGTTTGCTTACTTAATTGTTATCTATCAGACTTTTTCACTGCAGTGAATAAATATTTTTATAGTATTTGAAGCAGTAAAAAAAACCATTGCAATTTAGGATTATAATAAGGTGCACTGCTAAATACTGATATTATTTTTTATAATATCAGTATATTGCATGAGTGCTTGTATGTCATATCTGTCATATTGTATCCTTTTATAGGAGCAACATAAGGAAAAAAAATGGAATACAACTATATCAACTGTTGTTCCAAAGTTTATTTTAAATTTGTTATAAAAGTAATCAAAATTGACTATAGATAAGAACCAGTTTAAAAATGAATATAGACAAAAAAATACAAAAATTGTGTAAAAGGAATCAAAACTTTGGTTATGGGGTTGCCATACACTTATAATTAGATGCTTGTTTACACTTAACACAGTTCACATGAAAAATATGTTTCAATATTGTTAATAGTGTTTACAACCTTCATTACTTTGTAACCAAAAAGATAATCATCAGTATATTTTCTGACCATACAACTTTTTAATATTATTGAAGTTGTAAATATTAGTCTGATATCAGATTATATGAGGAAACTCACTCAGAAAGCTATGAATTGGGTTATGCTTGGAGTTTCTTTGCATGGTAAAATCCCTAATTGGGACATTCCTAGCAGAAAAAGGATACATAACTAACATAGCTAAATAGATCATCAGGCTGAAGTGTCAATGGGCTGACACCATAGCTAAAAGAATCTACATTCGATGGGGAAGAAAGTTTCTCAAGTAGCATACTGGCAATCACATTGTTGGGTGACACTACCAGGAGTGACAACCAGATTAATCTTAAACAATATTGATAGATGTTGGCTTATGCATGGGGAGTTCAGTGGTAACCTTATGATGTAGCATTATGTTACCACAACATATGGCTACAGCATCTATAGGTTGGCTTAATTGGGGAAGGACCATGATTGAAAAGAACACCAGTATGAAATAGCAGATATCATACTGTTGTGTTTTTGGTGATGAAGGTTAACTACTGAGATCCCTTTTACTGGTATTGAGGCATTCCATCTTAATCCTTACAAATAATTCATCGTTATTTTGGTTGTTTGTTAATGATAATAGATTCAGATAGATCTATATGGATCTCAGCATTTACTTGTATGTGCTAGATTGTGTGCTCATTTGGCACCCTTCTATACAAAAATAGTTTTTTTTTTTAGATAAGTATGTAGATTTCTTAAATATAATATTGAAACACAATCATCCCTGGCCTCGCACGGTTGGTTTCTGAATCTCTACAACAACGCCACCTACCGGGTCCAATTGTGAAAACCATTCTCTAATCAACTTAATCATACACACACACACACACACACACACATGGACAGTAGAATTATACAGGGTTATTTTGCATTAACTGACCAAATTAACAGAGGAGGTTTAGAATAGATAACATAAGCAAATGGTGAAAAAAAGTAAACAAGAAAAAAACAAACATTTTATCCTTTATATTCAAAATGTGTGGAAATGCGTTATTTTAATTGCTTGTCATTCATAAATATGAAACGCCTATTTTATATTAAGATGTAAATAGTTAATTAAATTGTTAATAGTTGCAATACTTTATTCCAATTTTTAAATACGCCATAATAAAGATAGTCATCGGTTACGTCTGTAATCAGTTTTGAATTGTTGAATATGTATATTGAACAGCGTCCGCGCCAACGCGATGTTCGTGTGGGTTGAGGTCGGCAATGCTCGTTGCTCGGCACACTGCCTTCGTAGCCGTCCGGGCGACTTCGTTCTTACCGGGCAGCGCCTGCTAGTCCGCTTTAAATGCCTTCAGCGCTAGACGCTATGCTTGCGCCGCCTGAACAGCCATTATTTAAATTGGCTTTCCAGCTCAACTATCTTTTCTACAACTAATTGTTTACATTTATTCTCCACCTCTTTCCCTCGCTCTGTAGTCTAAACTTGTATTTCGAACTGTCTTTTGTGTTGGAGTAGAAATATTATTTAATTCGAGGTGTGCAGAACTTTTTGATGAAATGTATTTTTTTTTTATTTATGACAATTATCAGTTATCAACTAACTAGCGAGCGTGTCATTAAGGAAGTAAATAGTAGGCAAAAGCTCCGTGCATTGATTCGTACACACACGAGCGCGCATCGTTGTTGCCCATAAATCACATTCAAGTATATACAAGTATGTATACAAGTACTTTTCAAAACTGCAAAAAGTGTATACAATACAACAACATACATACAACAACATTTATATTTTGAACTTAATTATTAAATTTGGTTGGTCTTTGAAAAATAACCTTGTATAATGTATACTATGCATATAAATCTTCCTCTTGAATCATTCTGTCTATAGATGAAAACTACATCAATATCCGTTGCCTAGTCTAAAATACCTAAGCGTAGAGACGGCGACTTAGTTTTATACTAAGTAGAGATATATGAAAAATATGTCGTATGTACTGAAAATTTAAAGAATAAAATGTAAAAATTATCTGGAATTCTTTATTTTGAGAAATAAACTTAGTTCCTTTAGGGTTTTGAGGCTTAAAACACGAAAAAACTAACATCTAAGGGCCAGAAGTAACCAAATCTGTACCATGTAAGTACAGTAGATTATAATAAATGCGATATAATCCGTAATACAAGTTGTATTCAAGGTACAGTTGGAAACATACAAAACACGTTTATATTCCATGTTGATTGATTTTAAAAATCATATTTATTTCGGCTATTAATAATTTAAAAGCATTAGCAGAAAAGAACAATGAAACCATTCTTTTTGGGCTGTGTGGTACTTGGATAGTTTATCTTGTATAATTTTCTCGTTATATACCATAACCATAGGTTTTGGGCTTATTTACTGACTTGACCTTAACCTTAGTTCCCCAAATCACAGACTTAAGTACCGTACTATTATGCAGATCAGTTTTGCAGTTCACATAACAAATGACTATACTATAACAATATTACATAAAATGATACCTTACACCCATGAAGTTTGTTATACCAACACAACAAGAGTGTTATTACACCAAGATAAAAATGACTTAAAATGCTTGATAAGACAAACAAACACTCATAGAGTAGTAAATATTGCAGCATTGCATCATATATACATAAATCATTAAAAATAATGATTTTAATACATGACAATATGACATTTATAAATATTTCAGTAGTAGTTTTTTTTTTGAAAATGTAATAACATGTCAAATGGTTTCTGATATGCACATCTTATCTTACAGATTTTAGAAGTGGAAAAGCTCCTATTCTTGTAGCCACAGATGTAGCGGCTAGAGGTTTAGGTTAGTATTATTGTCTTATATTTAAACCACAAAGTTGATATAAAATGTTAAAACTAATAATCATCATTATTTTGCAGATGTTGATGATGTTAAGTTTGTCATTAATTTTGACTATCCAAGCAACTCCGAAGATTATGTACATCGCATTGGACGAACAGGAAGGACAAATAAAACTGGAACAGCTTATACTTTCTTTACACCTTCAAATGCTGCTAAAGCAGGAGATCTTATTTCAGTATTGAAAGAAGCAAAACAAGTTGTAAATCCTAAATTGCAAGAACTTGCTGAGCGTGGTGGTGGAGGTGGACGACGTAAGTTATAGATGAAATAATACCTTATGTATACATATCTACATATATATATATATATATATATATATATATATATATATATAGAGTTGCGGATTTCTGTTAATATTTCTTTATTGCCTAGGTCATCGAGGTCGAGGAGGAAGATACCGTAGAGGGCGAAGATCCCGTTCAAGATCACGTTCGCGTCGCCGTCGCACTCGATCGCGATCGCGTTCCCGGGACAGACGGCGACGCCGTCATAGTTCATCGAGATCTTCACGAAGCAGATCATCAAGATCGTCGAGAAGTCATTCTCGATCTCGTTCGCGCTCTCGTTCCCGTTCACGTAGCCGTTCACGTTCAGGCAAGTGCAGTCAGGACGCTACTAACGCTGCCACAAAGCCCGTGGGCCAAGCTCTACTGCCTACTCCAAAGCCACTTTTACCCACTCCAATTGGTCCCCAGCTTCCTGTATTACAGAATAATAAAGGTTCTTCAACTCTTCCACATAGTGAAGACTCAAATATGAGAAGAAATGATAGGACAACTAATGATGTTCAACAACAATTAATACTACTACAACAACAACAGCAGCAGCAGCACCAGCAACCGCCGCCACCGCTGCCGCAACAGCAACAGTCCAATCAAATTCCGCCATTAATGGCTCTCAATCCTCAAATGTGCATGCCACCACCAATGAATGGTCAAGGTTTTGTTATGCCGCAATTCTTTCCTGCTGATCAATATGGTATGATGATGCAACCTTTTAATTCCAGTTCTATGCTTACTCCTGCTGGTTGGGCGGCACCTCCTCCACCACCACCTCCTCCTCCACCTTCCGGCTCCTCCACCAATATTAATACCTATAACCAAGAACAAAGTGGCTATGGGGAAAGCGGCCTGGAGTCAGATTCCAGAAAGCGAGGCGCCCGCTCTGGTGGTCTTGGCTCAGGCGGTGGTCTGGGCTCCGGCGGGGGCCTTGGTTCCGGCGGGGGCCTTGGCTCCGGCGGGGGCCTTGGCTCCAGCGGTAGCCGTGGCTCTGGCGGTGGTCGTGACTCCGGCAGTGGCCTTGGCTCCGGCGGTGGTCTTGGCTCCGGCGGTGGCCTTGGCTCCGGCGGAGGCCTTGGCTCTGGCGGGGGCCTAGGCTCTGGTCGCGGCCACAGCTCCAGCGATGATCGTGACTACGGTGGAGGCCTCGGCTCAGGCGGGGGTCTCGGCTCTGACGGAGGCCTCGGGTCTAATGAAGGCCAAAGCTCTTCGAGATCGAGAGGAGGTCGAGACAGACGTCGACGAGGAAGAGGACGAAACAACGACTACGACTCGGATGGTCCGGGTGGTGGTCTCGGGTCTCAAGGATCCGGCGGTCTTGACGGCGGCCTGGGTCAGGCCTCTTACGGATTGGCCTCTGGCGGACTCGGTGTACCCCATGGGGGCCAAGTGCCGCGCATGCTTCCCCAACCTGGTGAAAACTACTTTGGCCCACAAGGTGCTAATTTTACAGCATTTGGCTCGTATGGTTCTAAGAATAATAAAAGAAACCAAGATGATAATAATGCCAATGACACATTCAGAAATGACAATTATAATAATGGAATGGAATTATATGATCAGCAAAATATGGGACCAGGAAGGCCATCCGGCCTTGGCTTGAACCAGAATGGTTCCAGTGATGTGCAGGTTAATGGCTCCATGGGGTACAATAATAACCGCCAGAGGAATCGCCAACAGCGGTGAATACCATGAGGTTTGTTATATTCAAACCAATCAAAACTCACACACATAAAAATTACTTATTGTGCAAATATCTACTGATAACTCTTTATCTCAGGTACAAAATTGGTGTACATCTGAAGGATTTTAATCATGGCTTCCTGGTGGTATTAAGAGTAAAAATGTTATATAAACGTGGGTCGACTTGTAAATTAAGTTTTATTATTTTTATATAAAACTAACTGCTTCCCGGCACGTTGCTGCCTCAGAAGAAATTATTGTAGAAATATCATTTTAAATTTGTAAAAATCATATTGTTTAATTAGGAATGATAATATATTCATTGAAATTGAATGATATGTAACTTTCAAATAAATTTGTTGTTGCGATACGCGCGCCACATAATGTGAGTTAATTGTACTATTCCTATAACCGTCGCGCAAGTGCAAGTATGTAATAAGTTGACAGTTTTACCGCAGTCTGATGAACGATATGGCAACGCATAAAATACGAACAAACAAAAATATTTTATTTATTTATTAGATAAAACTATTCTTCAATGTTATGTGTTTCAAAAATATTGTTGCCATATCTCACCTACACTCAACATTGCCGCTTTGTACTAATTGAAACTTTGTATTTATTAGGAATTGTTTTCATTCAAATTTATTTCACAAAAAAAAATTTTTTCTCTCCAAACGTAAGGAATCCATGGTAAAATTCCTTTGGGTAACTTGAGGCCGTACTGTATTCTTAACAATGATAAGTTATGATAACTGTTTAAATATTCAGTTTTAATGAACTGTAAAGAAACCGAAGACTGACCATATAAATCGTATTACAGAGAACGGCTACAATGGAGACTCGCGCCGACGTAGGAGACGATAAATAAGAAATGAAAGAATAGAGTGAAGAACAAAAACGCTAGTGCTAAGTTTGGACGACAGAATTTCATTCCAAGTTGTGTTTGTTGGCATTAATTTTCTATGCCTAAAATTGTAACTTAACGATTTTCATGATTAAAACCTAATATGAATTACACTTAATAAAAATAAGCTAAAAAGTAAAAGCTATAGCATCATTGAGTGCTTTTAATTTATCGTCTACATTCTACAATATCCTGATCTTATTAGTGTTGATCTTTTTATAATTTAAGTTTTATTGACGGTAATTTTGTCTTGTAGGTACATAAGTACATTAATATGACTGTCTGTATAAAATACTTTGAAATCGTAAATAATATACGAACTTTTTGTAAATTCTAAGGGCTTTTATTTCAAAATAATGAACATTTATGTACATATCAGTGCGTCTATAAAATACCTGTAATTGCTCTATACTGAATGTATAGTGCGTTACGCTGTCTTATTAGCTTATTCCTGATGGATTAATTTCGTAAGAGAGCAAGTTGAACATCGCTCTCACACTTACTATTTTTCACAACTAACCTTTCCTGGTACATGTCCTATATCAAAATTGGCCTTAACCTGCTGTAATTCCAATATCAGAAGTGGGATAAAGTCTCTCTCATCGCCCACATATAATTTTCGAATAGTGTGAGGGCTTATTATACGTTTGTAAGACTATGATGCGCTTCACGTTGATGCCCTATGAAATTGACGTATTAGTGTAGAGTAAAAGATTAAAGTAAAATGTTTTAAGCCAAGAGTCGAAATGTTTTTGTTAGATATATATTAAAGGTAACCCGCAAGTACTTTTATAATTTCTTAAAGTACCCAACTGGTGTGGCCGCAGATATGTGCGAAAGCGTTCCCGTGGCCCTGCCAATATACGACGAAGGTGGAACACCGTGGGGTTTTACTCGGTGAGAGCGACATAAGCCGTCCTTGGCCCCGCGAGGTGGGTATGCGTAGATATTTCCCAACTATGAATATAAGCTCCCATCCCCCACCAGCTTATTCTGTCTGCGCTTGCCTAGCCCACGGATATATTTAATAGATTTTTATATTTTACTGACTTTCAAACAGCACTTTCACCCAAATCATCAAATTTTCCTGATAAGTATCGCCCATGAACAACTGCTACACCAGGAAAATTGAAGGTGCGTTACTCTTTTCTTGAAGGTCTAAGACGTATCGGTCCGAAAAGTCGCCGGTGGTAGTTGATTCCACAAAGAAGTCTTGCGAGGAAGAAAACTCCTAGTAAATCACACAGTCATGGTGGCCGTCAAGCATCCAGATGGTGTGGCTGGTACGTAACTTTTGTCACAATATGCGTTGGTCTAAGTATTCCCCGTGAAAAATGCGATAGAAAATGCAGTGGGATGCAACATCTCTTCGCAGTAACTAGAGTCGATCAGAGAGATCTGTCGTGGACGATTCGAGCCACTCTTCACTGGATGCGGTCAAGTGTAAGGAGCTGGCACTGGGGTGCCCCGGTCCAGAGATGAGAACAGCCTCAGCCGCTACGCTCGCATAGGTGTTTGCGATTTACTACGCAAGGGCGAAAGGGCGTAACGCCGAAGCTATTACAGAAGTAGGTAACTGGGTCAATATTCCTGTGTAAAAAGTGAGGTTATGATTAAAAAAAATTTACATACCTACTCATAAACGATACTTTTTCGAAAGGGGGAGGGGTAGGGGGTGCTTCCCCTGATTTTTTTCCTTTCTACCATCGATATTATTATATACTTTGTTGGAGGAAAGCATAAAGAAAATTTTTAAAAATAAAGTTTTGAATAGTTTATTCAAACATTTTAATTAACATTTACACATTTGTTGATTTGGTTGCTATGACGTCAAACTTCATAAGTCCTTATACACGCAATAGTTACAACTAAAATAATTAGTTTAATCTACATTATGAGCTTTTCGGTGGATCTGGTTTCAGAAGACTCTTTTTATGAAAACATAACTTTGGGTATAACAAGAGTTTTGGGTAAGAATACAAATCATTGTGCTTTTGCTGACACTGAAATCACACCACAAATTTGCAATTTTTCTTTTCATGTGAACATCTTTAATTAACAGTTACTACTTGGTATTTGCTTATTTATAATTGCAAGCCAAAGGATTGGATCAGGTATCATAGGGACAGACTAGCCCAATTTAAAAATTGATAGTCTTAGCTTTGGTAAGGGTAATGAACCAAATGTTTTTTTTTTTGTATAGATAGGTATTACTATTTTTAGCAAATTGAGAAATTTTATTTAGCAGATATAAATATTTTTTTAATTAGTTTTAATTTTATTAAAATAGATCATACTTGCGTTGCATCTGACCAAAGCATTATATGTTTATGGGGAAGTAATACTTAACAACTTCTATTAAAAATTAAATTACTTATATAATTAATTTAATAAATCACAACAATTCTTGGGTTGGTTGGGAAGAGTTAAGTAAACTAAATATTTTGAATTATCTAGTACATGGACGACCGAGCTTTGCTCAATGTTACAAAAAGAATTCCGAGGGATTACACCTGTCTAGAAAAATCTGTAAAGTAAAACATTATACATATTATATTTTTATTATAAAAAAATATAATTAGTTTGATTTTATCTCCGTAAAACAATGATTTTCTATTAGAATCCTGTAATGAAAAATTGTTCAACTATGTAATAACACTAACTAAACATTTAATAAGTCTATAATAATTTATTTTTACCCAACTGTAAGGTTGTGTGAGCTAGAATAATAAAGGACAAAAAATATAAAATAAAAAGCCCAACAGCTCTGTCCTGAACTAGTGCACCCGGGTATGGTAGCCCTTTATTCAAGCCATTACGTTGTTGAGATGATCTTAATGGCTAAATTACCAATGATATTACATGGGGTAGTCAAGCTTATTGCTTTGTGCCCGAAAACATAGACAACAATGGGAAACCCGTATAATACAAAATTAATTGAAATTGTTAGACAATGGGATTAAAAATATATCAATATGATATATATGTATATATTGCACATATAATAGTATACCCGAGAGGAATAAACTTATATATTATACCTTAGGTGTCAAACTGTCATAATTCTGCTAACAGAAGCAGCACAGTAACTACTGCTAATATTAAAATAAGTAGTTCTGGTAACATTTGCAAGAAAATATGTTGTAGATTTACTAAGAATAGAATAATATATTTATAGAAAAAATGAAGCATTTGAGTTCATTATCCTTTTCTAACCCTTTCATAAATGAGAGGAGGCCTGTACCCAGCTGGTAGTGGGATAGGCTGTTACTTTAATTTTTATCCTATTTTAAAGTACTATTACACATTGTTAGTACGAATTGGCTTTGTGTTTAGGCAAAAACATAAATCCATCAGGCACAGGACCTAATACCATTTCACTTATTTTTATCCAGTCTGCACAATTGCCTGAAGCCATAAGTGTCTCTAAATCATCTCTACCAAAATATGTTGGAGGCCTTTCATTAATTCTTTGTGGTGGTCTTTCTAGTAATCCAACAGGTACATATCTATATAAGAAAGATAACCATTCAAGTAAAAATCTACGTGTATTTTCAACACCCTGAGTATCAGAACCCCAGTGCTCCAGTCCATAGTATGTAAATTTTTTAATTATTTCAAACCTTTCTTTACTGCTTATATCTAATAGCTTTTGTTCTTTAATTTCTGTAAATATCCAAGGCTTAATAAGTGCACCTCGTCCAATCATTACTCCTTGAACAGAAGGAGCTAATTCTTTCTTTTGTAAATAGTCTTGATAACTTAATATATCACCATTACCAAAAATAGGCAATGGTGCTACTGCTTTTGCACAGGTTTCTATATATTCCCAGTCAGCTGATTTTGTATATCTAGCCTCCCTTGATCTACCATGTAAAGTTATAAGGGATACACCCCAATCAAACATTTTGGGTATAATAGTGTGAGCAATTTTCTTATCTTGGTACACACCAGTTCTAATTTTTGCAGTGAATGGTATATTTAATAGTTTTGAAGTGGATTTTATGGATGTCTCTAAGGCAGGTAATCTGTGCATCATACCGGATCCACCACCTTTTTTATAAATTAAATCTATTGGACATCCTAAGTTTAAGTCAATAAAGTCAAGTTCTGTGTTTTCTTGCAATAATTGTGCTACTTTAGTTATGGTATATGCATTGTTACCACATATTTGAGCTCCAAAAAGATCTTCTGATTCATGTCTTTTTACCAGAGCCCATTCTTGTTTTAACCCTTTCAGTAAAGATTCACAAAGAGCCATTTCTCCACAAGTAATATCAGCACCAAAACCTTTACAAATTCTTCTAAAAGGAAGGTTGCCAACAGTAGTAAGAGGACTGAGATATAATTTGTCTTGCCATTGTATTGTTTTCTTTTCACGGGGTAGTAGTTTTATTAAATCTTCATCGGTTATTACACCACTATTCACTTTATTAAGTGCGTTAGAATTTTCTAAAGTAGAATCTATTTTTTGAGAAACATTCCTACAATCCATTCTTTTCACCACACTTTCAGCAATACTGAAATCATATTTTTTCTTCTGTAACTTTATTTGAATAGAAGTTTGAAGTGAGTTTTTCGTGTCTTCTTTCCATGCTTTAACTTTGTTATCATCAGTAATGTTGTACCCTTCAGCTGTGATATGACTTAAACCAAAACGACAAGCAATGCCTCGGGGACACCTTCCCCGAACATCAAATAAATGGCACTTTTCGTAAATATCTTTAGGTTTTGATTGCAAATATTCCAGTGGATTATGAATATATTTGCAATTAGGAAATTGACACTTTTGTTGTTCATCGGGTGATTTAATGTCTATTATGCTAGGACAAGGTTTATTTTGTTTATCAATTTGAAATGTCTTAGGTCGTGCTTTGTTTTGGCCTCTCTTTTTATTTTTATGTGGTTCTTCAACATTTTCACATTTAAGTTTTTTGTTATCAGATGTAATGTTACTGTCAAGTTTCCTTTTTAATGATGATTCCGTTTCTTGAATGTTGTTACAGTTTTCCAATTTTTGTGCAATAAATTCTACTTTTATTGCACAAACTCCTGCGCTCGAATTTGTCATTTTAGTCAATTAATTTTAATTAGAAGGGATATTCGCTTGGAAGTTATTAAATAATCACTATCATACTATCTACAACAAGGTTTTTAGAAATATTTCTTCTTATTAGTTTTGAAGGTTAAAAGTTATAAAAATTACTATTAAAAAATAACCAATAAACATGACCATGTGTACAATGTACGTGCATTTGTTTGACAAATTGTCAATGATAAATGACAATTTGACATTAACAAGTTAACAACCAGCCAACCACCAGCCACCACTAACTTAGTTTTTTTTTATAACTGACTTTACGGCTCTGGGTTCTAACCCTTCTGAGCCTGAAGTTACAATGTATAATTATCCTTCATAGTAAACTGCTTCACAATATGTTGAAGCGTCAGGCGCGTTGAAGGCGACTAAGCAGACAGACCTTATCTTTAGAATCACATCACCATCAGAGCAGTTGTTTCACAGTTTCCACTAATAGTTCACATTCGCAGGCACTTAATACATAAAATCACACCGCTTTTACATATTAAAATCTACTTCAAACCATTATTTAAACAATAATAGAAGAGCAGCAATCCTCCACCGTTAAAATTCCCGCCAAATCTCTCAACTTAGTCATTTTTTTTAAACTGGCTTTACGGCTCTGGGTTCTAGCCCTTCTGAGCCTGAAGTTACAATGTATAATTATTCTTCATAGTACACTGCTTCACAATCTGTTGATGCGTCACAATGTGCAGTCCCTGGGAGATTTTGACGGTAACTTGAGCCAGCAGATAGCTGACAGTTGGCGATGGTATCTCAAGGCGCCTAAGCAGACAGACGCCATATCTTGAGAATCATATCACCATCAGAGCACTTGTTTCACCGTTTCCACTAATAGTTCACATGCGCAGATACTTAATACACAAAATCGCACCACTTTTACATATCAAAATCCACTTCAAACCATTATTTAAACAATAATACAGGAGCAACAATCCGCCGCCGGTCAAGTTCCCGCTAAAACTCCAACTTAGTCAAACTTTTGGTCAAGCCAAAGACAATATTTTTTTTATGAAGGTAAATATAACTTAGTCATTACTATGTTCTTATTCATTAATAAAAAATATCTACAATTATAATATCGCATTATTTGTATGAAGGTTAAGTGAGCGCAAAAGAAACGACAAATAAAATGTTTTGAGAAGTTATCAATTACCGTGTATGAATATCCTTATAATCCCTTGGGTCTCGTAAGACGCGACTAGAATTAGAGAAAAGTGTTATTTTTAAATTACCGTGACCATCGTTCCGGTTACCAAAAAGTCACAATGAAAAATCATTGTCACTTTGTCACGTTGATAAAGTTGGATAACTACTAGGAATATTAGAACGATTTATAACGTGACTTTATATATGCATTTTAGATTTAGTATTAGGTTTTATTTTAGTAGTCGATTTTTATTACCTTCCTTACCCAAGCTACGTGGCTATGTTATAAGTACCTTTCTAATAATTCTTTCTGAAATATAAGAATATCACCTAACCTAGGCGATCAGTCAGTGTACCGTAACAAGTTAGATATAAGTTGGAAGAATAACTAATTTTATTTTTAGAAAATTGTACCGAATAAAAAAATCAAAATATATACCTAAATTAGTCAGTAAAAACATAAATATCTTTACTGACTATTTCAGGTATCATTAAACAAATACAGCAATTGTTAATAGAATATTTTCCCACAAATATTTGTGTGTATTTTATTTAATTCTGACCTAGAGATTTAGACTGAAGTGATGGTTCCCATACCTAGCCTACATGTTTAGAAACTAATTTTATTAGTTCGCCCAGCTATTGATGGGCAAGAGAAAAAAATATTAATATACATATATATATATATGTCAATATTAGTAATATTATAGTAAGGTTAAGGCAACGCCGCTACAGCCTGCTGTTTCTTGGTGGACCATCCATTACAGCCTATAAAAGTCTATTACTGAACATGGAACTCCCCCATAGATTGCCTCATAGGAGGGTTTTGGTATCGTTGCCACGCTTGGCAGGCAGATTGACAACCGCAGTTTTTAATTATTTTGAGTTGTTATCAGGAAGATGTTGTTGCGCATTACCTGTTTCGAGTAGTGTAGTGGCGGTGTAAGACTATCCACTACCCCATATCATCCCGTGGGTGTTGTATGAAGCGACAGAGGGAAGTCGGAACAGGTCTGCCAGTATCCACTTGATTTCTGTGAATAGTGCCGCTTTCACTTAATCGTCGACAGGTAGGTCTGAAGACAGAAATGGGGGGAAGCCGGCTATCAGGAAAGCAACGTTGATATTCTCTTCGAGCCCCAGCAACGTTGCCGTCAGCAAAACCATAACAGTACATGATGTCGGCATATTCTTTATTAGAATATTACGCCATTTTAACTTCGACGCACAAAAACAGTAACAATGAACAGTCAGTAACAGGTAACGATAACAGCAATAATAACAATAACGATAACGACTGAAAACTATAACATATGAATTAAAGGGATGAGAGTTTATTAGAGGAAGTTAACACGTGCTTGTGCAGCTATAGTAGAAACTAACTAACAATCATCGCTACTACTCAATTTAAAATGGTTGTCGGCTTTCTGAATAGTTGTCAACAACTAATCAGACGCCAAGTGACTAAAAGTGTGCAAGTTCGTTCCTAAGAGCAATCATACTTTGCCGTTCTCTACCTGCGTTAAGTAAAAGAACCTTTTGTTATTATTATTCTTTGATTTCACCGGAATATTATTACCATTTTGGAGAGCTGATTAAATGGGCATATTTTTTAAAATATTTTTATGTTTCATGTCATAGTAATTTTTGAAGTACGTCACATTTTAAGATACGTTAAGTGTCAAAATTTTTTTTATTATTTAAACCCATATTTTTTTATTGTGAATACTTTTTGTACTTTTTTGATTGTATTGGCTTGGTTGAAGCTTCAAGAAAATAAATAAACCTAAAAGAAGGCATACAAAAAAATATTTTATTTTTATTTAGAATTTAATACGAAATTCTGGGTGATTATTGAAAAACCTTTAGAATTCGTATATCTCAAGACCTGTTCATTTTCGGCCATACATATGGTGGATCAAATTTGTAGCATTTTGACTCCCCTATTATGCCCTGCCAGGAAGTTGTCGAATTTCCCGTAACACTGTATAAAATGGTTTTTAAGGGGGAGTAAATTAATTAGATTTTTGTGTTTGATTAATAAACATTGTTTTATAATTTCGTACCTGTTCTATTGAGCTAAAACATACCTTATAATTATCGCTTACCTAATATTTACAAAAACTTACATAATCAAATTAAAAACTTATTTTTTGTACTCTAAGTTCTGAACATTCTTATCTATTGTTCTAAGGGGTCCCTTCTAATTACTACATACTCTTTGGCGGGGTCTATAACTTTGACACGTAGGAGTTTTTGGCGGGAACTTGACCGGCGGCGGTTTGCTGCTCCTGTATTATTGTTTAAATAATGGTTTGAAGTGGATTTTGAAATGTAAAAGTGGTGCGATTTTGTGTATTAAGTGTCTGCGCATGTGAACTATTAGTGGAAACTGTGAAACAAATGCTCTGATGGTGATGTGATTCTCAAGATAAGGTTCTGTCTGCTTAGGCGCCTTGAGGTACGAACCGCCAACTGTCAGCTGTTTGCTGGCTCAAGTTGCAGTCAAAGTCTCCCAAGGGCTGCACAATGTGACGCAGCAACATATTGTAAAGCACTGTACTATGAAGGATAATTATACATTGTAACTTCAGGCTCAGAAACGCTAGAACCCAGAGCCGTAAAGCCAGTTATAAAAAAATTGACATGTAGATCGACCCCCTCTCCCTTACCCTGGCCTACGAATTTAGAGTATATATATATATATATAATATATCAAAAATACTTACAGACGTATTTCAAATAGCACATCTAAAAAATATTAATTATTTAAAATGCACCCATGTAGTTTAGAAATAAAATATATTTAAAGATCGCCCACCTTATAACGTCGATACTACTTCAAATAATTAGAACTGGGTACTTTTTGCAATATAAGAAAGCTGCACCTTGCTTGAGTATAATTGCACCGTCGTTAAAAATTTATATAATCCAATGATAAACACAAAAAGTTAATAAAACCAAATTTGTTCAATGTCGATTGAACCACCTCCTTACCCCAGCCTACGAATTTGGAGTATTATATAAAATTAAAAATACTGACAGACATATTTTAAAAAGCACATCTCAAAAATGAAGTTTTTAGAAAACTTTGACGGCAACTAAATCTAGTAAATAGTATCGGGCATAATAAATAATAACTTGAAGTTCAAATGACCATTGGCGCATTATTTTTAAATTATATTATATTTATATATAATTTCATCGTTTCCATTAATAGTTCACATTTGCAGACATTTAATACACAAAGTTACTACAACAGTACACAAAGTATTTAACTCTTAAAGCTATTATTATTGCTTATTAATCTTTAATTTAGTAATAGTTCTCCCGTTAGGTTTTCGAGGCACAAGATTACTACTGTGCTGATCACTTGCGGTCGACATTGTAAAGTATATTCAAATAATATACCTTAGGTACATACAATAAGAAATTTAAAAATCGTATTATATTGTAAATTCTTTAAAACGAAACTTAAGAGACTGAGTATTTTTCTTTTTTGTTATATAGGGATTTCGTTATTAGCATGGAGTAAAGAGTTTCACTAATCACAATAATTTTTAATATTTGTTTCAATTAATCATTTTATATTAATTCATTTTTCTAAGTACATTTTTTTTATATGATAAGGGTGACAAACGAGCACACAGTCCACCTGATGGTAAGTGGTTGCTGCGGCCCATAGACATCTACATCTATCCTCTATTACAAATCAAAATATAGATGCGTTGTCACCCGTGAGGACTAAGATGGAATGCCTCATTTCCAGTAAAAAGGGCCTCCGGCCACCTGCACTCACCAAGCGAAACGTAGAAGTAAACCTCTACTTCACGCTGGTTTTCTGTGAGGTCGTGGTACCACCCCGGTTCGAGCCGGCCCATCCGTGGGACAGCAAAAGCTGCCGCGTGGCTCTACCACTGTTAAATACATAATATTCTGTTAACTTTGCCTGACTTGTTTGCTATGCCATTATTGGTTTTGTATTTTTTTTGCCATGAGTTGGGGGATCATCTTTATTAAATAATAAAAATTTCTATTAGTTTAACAGCTTCAAGTGCTTGTTGAATCGTTGATGGTGGTTTACAATCGTCCACTTGATTATCTGCTTCAACTTCATTTAGTTTTTCCTTACTTTTCGTCACTGAATCAAGAATGTCTTCATGTAAGTAAAGCAGTTGTGGCCAGGTCGTGATCTATAAAATTGTCAGTAATATTGAACTGTTTAATGCAGTGGTATATTTTTTTTGAAAAATGGTAAATTTGTGTTATCGAATCGTGATTGTTCGGAAATCGTTTTGAAAAATAAATTTTAATACACTAGCTCTGCCTCAATTGTATCTTAAGGTGATATAATACATAATCTTAAGACGATATAATAATATAGTGCATAATTAGCTATTAAGTTTTTATTATATCGCTATGTGATTTTTCCTGTATGATTTAAAATGGAAAATTAAGCGACAAAATTGCAAACCCCAGTTATAAGAAACTATTACGATTTTGATGAAATACGAATTTATGTATTCATTGATTTTTTATAATTCGTTATATTTTTTTTTATAGGATAAAGGTGACAAACGAGCACACAGGCCACCTGATGGTAAGTGGTTGCTGCGGCCCATAGACATCTACATCTATCCTCTATTACAAATCAAAATGTAGATGCGTTGTCACCCGTGAGGACTAAGATGGAATGCCTCATTTCCAGTAAAAAGGGCCTCCGGCCACCTGCACTCCCCAAGCGAAACGCAGAGGCAAACCTCTACTTCACGCTGGTTTTCTGTGAGGTCGTGGTACCACCCCGGTTCGAGCCGACCCATCCGTGCGACAGCAAAAGCTGCCGCATGGCTCTACCACTGTTTAAAATTTATATGATATTATCTCGATTAAGGTTTTTATTTAAAATTTAGGTAAACGAATTCTAAAATGTATGTGATGGTAAGTGGCTACTGCAACCCATGGACACCTTCAATCAACTCCAAACATATAAAGCTACAGATGCGTTGTCACTTCCGAGGACCAAGATGAATTGCCTCACAACCTGTGATTGTACTGGCCTCTATACACTTTAGAACGGTGTACACTTAGGTGCAAGCGCTGCTGCATGGCGGCAGAAATAGGTAATATGGTGGTATAGTATAAACCCAGACTCAGATTCAGATTCCTAGATAGAAAAGGAATCCTTGTACCTAGAATGCAACAATCTTAACGTGGGTACCTATCATCAGGCAGGATAGTAGTGAAGCACTGGTTTATAGTACATATTTAGTTAAAACAAAAATAAAATAAAAGTTAATTGTTGTGGTAAAATACAAGTTTGATATTTCCCAGAGTCAGATCCACGTATATCCAACGTTGCTGTAGAACGAAGACCGCCATGTGATCGTGTGACTATTTCTAATTGGGAGCAAAGACATTCATCAATATTACCCGAGGATCTTCGCAACTTCTATGCTTCGAGTGACGGATTTCAACTTACATGGCATTATAAATATTCAGGAAAGGATAACTATAATAGTATTATGTATATTCAAAACATTTAGAGCGTGTAACTAAAATTAGGCCAAGCCACGTCTTTTATGTATCCCCTTTTTGTTAACTCTCTAACAGCGAATGTGGCCTCTCCAATATCAAAGAGGATTTGCCATAATATCTACATATCTACATGCCTTCCCAAATGTACCTTACGCTTCATTTTACTAGATTCTATTATCGTTATTTTAGTCTCATTTCTTTGTATATAATATGATGAGGCAAAGTGAGGACAGAATTTTGTTTAGTTTTCATACTGTCAATCAATAATGCCCAGGGCTGTCGCATAAAACAAGACATGATACCTTATGCAGGTAATAAGGCCTAGCTAAGGGAAAATTGAAAATAAAACCAGAAATGTCTAATTTGGTCTGCAGATTTTAATAAAAATCATTAGTTTGGTACAGTTTGTGGCGGCGCTGTCGACGCGCCACAAGCGAAACACATCGAAGCCTAAATCGCGCTAACAAAGTTCCGAAGTTAAAGCAGTATATTATATAGAATAGCCCCGAACTACCAATCGGAGCGTCGGCAGCTCCCCGGGCAGAACACCTTGCCCGGCGGGAGATCTCCCCTTTTCCTTCCACCGGCCACAGTGGTGACCCCGACGTGATATGAACACGCAACAAACATCCTTCGGAAATTAAAACTTCAAAACCTTCTTCAGCGTCCTCAAGTACCCCATTCATTCGCTCCCGAGCAGATATTGTCTGCAGTCTTCACATTCTGCAAGCCATCTCACTTTACATAAGGTTCATCGCAGCACTGGAATAATAATGCTTCCTGTTCCTTCAAGCTACTCTCTACGCTACAGTGTTCGGCACGGCTCTGAGCCTTACTGCTCGCCTCAGCTTCACGGTACTCTCGCAGATTACTTGCCTTCTTCTCGACTCACCGCAGACTACAAAACAATCCGTAGCACTTGCTCCGGCTCATCGTTCTCACCGGCATCACTTGCAAGTGCGTAGTACGGCATGCATTACACACCGGCATATCGTTCGCACCGGCGTCACTTGCCCTTATGCACACAGCATGCATTCCCCACCGGCATTAAGGACGCACCGGCAATCGGACTGCATTATCGACCTCCGGTCTGAGCAGGGGGATGATGTGGCGGCGCTATCATCGCGCCACAAGCGAAACACATCGAAGCCTAAATCGCGCTAACAAAGTTCCGAAGTAAAGCAGTATATATAGAATAGCTCCGAACCACCACTCGGAGCGTTGGCCGCTCCCCGGGCAGAACACCTTGCCCGGCGGGAGATCTCCCATTTTCCTTCCACCGGCTACAAGTTTCTATAGAGTATGAACGAATAATTGTAACATTAGCCATAAAGAAAAACAAAATTAAACATTTCGTAAAACCTTAGATACTAGTAGAAGGCCTTTTAGTATGGTAAGGTAATAAGACCTACTGCTTTAAGGAACTCGAATAATTAATTTATACGTAATGTATTTAATATTTGTGATCAATAATCACATGTATGCAGCAATTAAGACTTAAATTTCTAAAAAAATATATAAATTGCCTCGCCTAACAGTATTTGAAGTCAATAGTGTAATGATGAACAAACTGACAAAGAAACTCACTCCTTGTGATTATCGTCAGTGCGTCGGTTGGTCTCGAGTTGAGTTGAGAATTGGGTTTATTGTTGGGTTGTGTCTTCCCAACCAAATTCTTGTCACAGCGGCTAATCTCAACGGCGAGCGGAGACTAGCCCATCAGCACAGTACAGAATTACAGGATCCGGGTATATGCACAAGCACAGGTGCACTCTCTGTTCCCTCACAATCATCAATTCGCAATCAGACACGGTTCGAGAGAGCTCAGGCGCAGGACCAATATTTACACATAATTTAATAGCTTCTAATGTTAAAGCCTTAATTCGTCGACACACATTGTCTTTGCACTGTTTGGTCAGCTGAAACCAGGCCATTTTCTGACTACGACGTTAGTTTAATAATAAAAGCGTACGATTTATTTGCATTTATAACATTTTAGAAGTGATATAAAATTCATAATTAATTTTGCGCAGCTCTCGTCAAGCTAAGTCTCAACTCACTGCAGTCTTAAATTAGGACCTACAGTGGGTTGAGACTAAGTTTCACTTGTCATGTCAATGTGCTAAAAATATCTTGAAATTGTAAAAAAATAGTTTCCTTACATAATATGTGCTGTTTTTCTTTGGATATCAGACTGGAAATAATTATAATTATTAACTCTGCATGACCACACACTAAATATAATAACTTGACAATATTAGTAATGTGCTTTTTCATTGGGCAGTACTCCATAGTTTTTAATTTAATTTTGTTAACAATAGTTTGGCGTGGTATATCACTATATCAACCTAACTAAAATCTTGTGCCGCAATCTTAAGGATCAATTTACATTGCGGCGGAATGGAATGGAAACGAATTTTTGTAACAAAATTGTACATTGTAAAATGAATTAGCTCTGTGAACTTGGAACCCGAACTAAAAAAAAAATATTGATACATATTCTACAAACAACGCAGATGATTGTAATACCGTTTATTCGTTTGTAGTCCTGAAAAATCTTCTGATAATTACTAAAAGTTGTAATTATCCATGAAATATAATAATTTTCGAAAAATCTTGATTACCAATGCGTTAAGAATCATTTCTAGATGATTGTAATACTAAAAGATTTATATTGTACATTTTTTATTATAAAAAGAGTTATAATTTTTAAAAAAATTATACAGATAATAAAAATTGACACATATTCTACAAACAACACAGGTGATTGTAATAACCTTCATTCGTTTGTAGTCCTGAAAAATTTCTGAAAATCACTAAAGGTTGTAAGTTTTCATGAAATATGATAATTTTTGAAAAATCTTGATTACCAATGCGTTAAGAATCGTTTGTAGATGATTGTAATACTAAAATACTTTTATTACCGGACCTGAATTTTGAAAGATATTATTATTAAAAAAATCTTTCACCCGAAGGAACTACAAACGACACAGATGATTGTAATACCGTTTATTCGTTTGTAGTCCTAAAAAATCTGATAATTACTAAAAGTTGCAATTTTTCTTGAAATATGATAATTTTCGTAAAATCTTGATACGGAACCCTAAAAATTAACGTGCTGAATGCATTGAGCATTCAGCACGTTTTTAGGGTTTTTAGGGTTCCGTATCCAAAGGGTATCCAATGGGACCCTATTACTAAGCCTCCGCTGTCCGTCCGTCCGTCTATCAGCGGTTCAGCGGGCTGTGTCTCATGATCCGTAATAGGTAGACAGTTGAAATTTTCACAGAATGTGTATTTCTGTTGTCGCTATGACAAAAAATAATAAAAATGAAAAGGGGCCCCCCTACCAGAAACGTGTATTAATGCGCTAGCTCTCCTTATTAGCTTGTGGTGTATTACGATGGTACGGAACCCTTCATGCGCGAGTCCGACTCGCACATCGCCGGTTATATTAAATAATTCTGTTTAATACCAAATGGCTTCATTAATAATCTGCGTTAGAAACTTATAGTTTCGGTAATTTAATAAATATTTCCGGTATTTCATACTTTTTTTGAAAGCTTGATCCTAGCCGCAATTATCTAACGAAATGAGGAAATTTTGGCAGTACTAATTTACACATTTGAGAGTTTATGTTGTAGGTATTTTTACTAATCTAATTGTTATATCCTGGATAAATTTCACGTAACAGCTGATGAAGTTCTTCCTGTCGGATCAATACGAGTCAACTCATTAAGTGAGTTGTGTTTATCGCCGGGCTTGAAGGACCTTTTGGACTTCTCGTTAACAAGACAGAGCTCTGGCCCTCGACCATTACTTAACACCAAAAGCAAAGTGTTCGAATTGGATGCCTGCAGAAATATCGGAAAGGTAAATATTTGGTTTGGGGGCTTGATACAGCAATGGCCAAGAAGTTACGTATTTCTGAGAATCCGTAGTTTAGCTATCGCATGGAACAATGTGGGTGTTAATACAAGTAGGAGTTACAAGCGACGAAACTATGGTAAGCCGTAATGATAGACTTCGATAAATATGTACAATTACTAAGTTTTTTTCTTTTATTTATATAATAAGGATGACATGCCTCCTATACAGTAAAAGCTCTTTATTCGCGGGGTCTATGTTCCGTAAATATGCCGCGAATACAGAAACTGTGAATATGGAATGGTAATTTATATGGGATTATAGGGGCGTATTCCCTGACAAAATAAAAAACAAATATATAAAAGAATCAATTTAATTGAAGTTTTCGACCATATTGATTAATTACTATCTTGAGGCTTAGGCAATGGTTTAAAGAACTTTATAATTTTTTCAAAAGCTCCTTCAATTCAGACTGATATTCAGTAGTGGCATTAGCAATTTGCCTCTTAAAAATAAGACTTCGTTCCATAGGCTCATCAATTTTCATAAGGAAACCACAAAGTTCATTTGCCTTTTTTAAACCTAAAAGATTTTTCAAATTAAATGTCAGGTTTCCAGTGCTTGTTGTAGGCTCTTCTTCAAATTTAACATTTTTTTCAAGTCGGTTTCAGTCAAATCTTCATCTCGCGATTCAAGCAACTCCTGAATTTCACTTGATTCTATCTGTTCGAACTCATTTCGTCCTATTCCATTCGATATTTCGGCTATATTTACAGTCAGACTTTGAATTTGCACAGATTATTCGTCATTTTCTGCAGTCAGAGCAGGCCACAGTTGTTTCAAGCATTATTTGAATGTGTATGGCTTCAGTTATTCCAATGTTTCTTTTATGTTTACGATGCATTTTGTTATGTTAAATTTCCTCCAGTATTCCATAACATTCATATCAGGATCACATTCCATATTATCCAATATGATTGTGAATGTACCTAATAGAGCTTAAAAGCCTGGATTATTCCTTGGTTGAAGAAAAGCCGTCATGGTGGGAGGTAAAATGTCACTTTTATATTTGGATGTATAGTTTCAAGTTCGCAATGCATTGTCCAAAACTAGAACTGCTTTAAAGTCAAAATTATTTTTTTTTAAAATAAATTTCACCTTCTGAAACAAAACAATTCCGGAATCAGTCACAAAAATAGCACTTGTATCCCACGCTTTCTTATTAGCACACCCAAACACTGGCAGGTCGTCCTTGTTTTGTTTTTTAAAGCATGAGGATTTAACGATCTGTAAAGCATCAGTGGTTTAACGAAACAATCTCCAGATGCATTAGAATATAGCAGCAGTATAACTCCATCTTTTGCTGCCTTAAATCCAGGGGCAGACTTTTCGCTTTTAGAAATGAATGTTTTGTTTGGCATTCTCTTCCAAAATAGTGCAGTTTCATCTGCATTAAATACTTGCTCAGGTTTGTATCTTGCATTAGCTACTAGGTATGCGAATTCTTCTGGATATCTTTCTGCTGCAGCAGTGCCTGGAGATGCAGCTTCTCCAAAGATTTTAATGCTATGCAATGATTGTCTTACCTTAAATTTATTGAACCAACCTTCCATTACTTGAAATCCTCCATCTGTACATTCACTACCACAACTAACACCAGATTCTTTAAAATGTGCGTTAAGGCGCTTTGCCTTCTCCCGGACCATTGGGCTACTCAGCAGCACCCTTTTTGGTTGCGGTCTTCGATCCATAATGACAACGCCACTTCCATTTTTTCTATAGCTGGATCACGAACAATGTTCGCTGACAGTGAAGTTGAAGCTACAGACGACCTTATTTTTTATCTTCGGATTTTTTTTATCGATCGTACAGTTGATTCGTTGATATTGAATGAGCGTGATATAGATGCAAACGACTGATCAAGCATTTCTATTTTCACTTTAACCGGTAACATAGATTTTTTTCGCGTCGAAACTAGTTTTTTATAATTTTAGTCGACATTATAAATTAGGAAGACAGCGGTAGAGACGTGTTACTCGATCACAATTTTTGTAACGAATGGAAAGATGAAACAATAAAACACGCAAAGCGGCTCTTACCAAAGGACAACGTCTAATATGTGGCAGCATTTAAAAATATACTTTATGCATTGAGTAATAAGGTTGTTTTTATTCTCTTTGTTTACATTCACAAAAACACCGACCGCAGCGTAGGTGGCTTATGTCAAATGCCGAACCAGTACAGCGGCGATATCATTTAACAAAATACTTTAGGCATAATTGTAATAAGGTCTACATATTTTACTTTTTGTTAGTCCATTTGACGACGCGTTTACAAAGGATATTGCGTTGGATACCTATTGGAATCCTTTTTATTAATATGTATGTACCGATGTACCGATTAGATCCGCAAATATCCGATCTTTAGCCGCGAATATAAGAATTGGGTTGCATTTTTTCAATCTGCGAATTGTGAAAACGCGAATGAAGGAAGCGCGAATAAGGAGCTTTAACTGTATAGTAAAAAGGGTCGCCGGTTCTCTATACTCACTATACGAAATACAGCAGCACTGAGCTGTTATTTTACGCTGGTATTCTGTGAGAGCGTGGTCCTACCCCGGTCGAGCCAACCCTAATGGGTTTCAATTTCAATCAATTTTTTTATTATTATTACACTGCTTAAAAAAAAAGATATGTATTTTGATGTGTAACTGAATTTATTGGCTATACCAGGTATCTTCTATAATTTATATCAAAATCGACCGTGTGGTTGCGGTGTAAGAATATCCACTAGCCTATATCGTCCCGTGAGTGTGGTAAGGTGCGGCAGAGGGAAACAAACCAGGAGATGGACAGCAGCGTCTTCTCGCAGCAAACATCGCTCCTACGGGTTAATCTATGGGGGTGGCCTATGTTAGAAATGGTCTTTTGACAGGCTGTAACGGTAACGGTATATATAAAAATGAATGTTACTTTGTGTGTACCGGTCATCAGATTACGATGAAATTGATAAGTTGTTCTGCTAGCTTCGCAGATATTTCAGACAAAAAAGCATGGCAACGCACGCCGTGTACAGCTAGTAGTGTTATAAAATTAAACACCAGGGATCGAAAACTTACAGGTTTGCCTTATAAATACAAGTGGATCATGGTCCATTTGGCTAGCGACACGTGATGGAGCTTGGGGTTGGCTGGCCGACTCGTTTACTCATTATTTCAGGATGGCCCTAGTACACCTTGGACTACCCGGTTGGCAGGCCGCTTTCTCAAATTTACCTTTAATTCCTTGGGCAGAGGTTAGTAATAAAACTTTCTAAAGCTTTTTGATAGTTCTTTTTTTTTCGTAGAATAGAATAGGATGATTTTTATTTAATATTTATTACGACATAATACTTATTGAAATTAATTTTTTAATTACCACTGGTTCGGAAAATACCTCTGTCCTGGGAAGAACCAGCAAGAAACCCAGTAGGACGTTTTTTTAAACATATTTCACTTTATGATAATTTTGTTTGTACAATTTTTAAATCAATTTTAATAGAAACAGCATGGTGGCGATCACCTCATTCCCAGGGATTATATTCATTCATGTATTCTTTGATTTTGATTAGTAAGCTGAAGTGGCAATGGGCCGGCCATATAGCTCGAAGAACCGACAACCGTTGGGGAAAAATGGTTCTCGAGTGGCGGCCTCGTACCGGCGGACGAAGTGTAGGGCGTCTCCCCACTAGATGGAGTGACGAACTGGTAAGATATGCAGGAAGTCAATGGATGCAGGTGACTCAGGACCGTGCTTTGCGGCATTCCTTGGGGGAGGCCTATGTTCAGCAGTGGAGGAATTGTGAAGGGCTGTTATGATGATGATGATGATTCTTTGATATTATAATAACCCTTTTTGTATAATCTTTCTTTAATAAAACTTTTAAACTTGTTTATTAACAAACTTTGAACATGTTTTGGGATTTTGTTGTAAAAACGTACCTATACATTGCCCCATAAATGAATTACTAATTCTGTGGGGTCTAGTTACTGGCATTGCAAGCTTTTGTTTGTTGCTAGTGTTTAAAGTATGAACACCCTTATTCTAATCAAAGCTGTTTATGTATTTATGTACATACATTATATTTTTATAAATATATTGCGATACCAAAGTTAATAGGTATGTTTATTTCTTAAAAAATTTCTCTAAGGGACATTACAATTTATGTTATAAATCGCCCGTACGGCTTTGTTTTGCAAATCAAATATGGCATCGCTGTCAGTCGCATTACCTCATAGCAAAATTCCATAAGACATCACGCTGTGAATGTAACTAAAATAAACTAATCTAGCTGTCTCAACATTGGTGAGACTTCTATTATATTCACTAATACAGATCGTAAGTGAGTGGTCGTAAACGCGACTGCTGATTATTAGGGTTCAAATCCTGGATCGGGTGCAAATAACTGGTATTGAGTTTTTTTTAAGAAATTCTCAGAAGAAACCCGGAGTGAGGAAGTTAGGGTATTTCGATCCCGGCCCTCGGAAAGGACGTAAATCCGTGGGTCCTGCCTCTGATGTTTCTCCGGTCGTGTCGGTTCTCTGTCCATCGGGAAAAGAGAGTGAGGGAATAGAGAGTGAACCTGTACTTGGGCATACATTAAGGCATTATATTCCTATGCGCTGGTAGGTTGTCTCCGTTGAGACTACTACTAATCATTATTACATTATATGCTGCAGAACTAAGTCTGCCTGCTAATTTAGATATATGGGGGCCCCATTGAAGCTTCGCGTCAATAGTAATACCAAGAAAAACAGTGACAGTGACAAGACTCAACTCTTTCGCATTTAAGAGCACATTGTATTCGAATGTTTAACATTAGGTATTGTAAATTTAATACATGTTGTCTTATTGCCATTTAACAGCAAATTGTTGGCGTTGAACCAATTTACTAATTTCGATAGAGGATTATTTACATTGTTATAACTAAATGACTACCGTTTGAGTTTGACAATTAAAAAGGTATCATCAGCAAATAATACTATGTCGTAATTGTCCCCTACAAGATAAAGTAAGGCATTAATATAGATTAAGAACAAAAATGGGCCAAGAATCGAGCCCTGAGGAACGCCCATTTATACTACCGATCCGGAACAACCTTACTATTGATAACGACTTTTTGAGTTCTGTTATTTAAACATGAAATATAAGTCTAAGCTCAATATTTTTGAAAACGTAATGTTGTAGTTTCCTGATTAATGTCTCATGATGAACACAATCTAAAACCTTGGAAAGATCACAAAAAATACCTGAGGCATCTTATGAATTCTCATGCAATTTTGTAAAATAATTGTATGCGTATATTTCAGCAATTATTTCTGCTGCTAGCTCCACACTTGTTGGAAAGAACGGAACAAGAAACTAGTTTAGTTGCAACTGGAAGCGAAACGGGGTTCAATCATATAGATCCAAATATATTCAAATCATCTGTTCGTCATCACAAGAACAGTCGTCAATCAAATTAATGATTTTAATCAAACGTCATGTTTATTCAAACAAACAAACATGGATGTAGAAGAATGGAGAAGTTGTAAAATGAATTAAATAATAAAAATTGTAATGCTTTAACTTCATGTTTTTCTTTAAGTTGTCACTGTAAGTAAGTCCACTACCCCATACAATCTCGTGGGTATCGCAAGAGGTGTGAAAAAGGAGATGGGCAGCAGCATCTTCGTTCAGGTTAAACTACTTGCAAAGCGTGGCAGCTATGGCAAATATCACCCTATGAGGCAATCTATGGAGGAGGAAGCCTATGTGAAGCACTGGATTTTCGATAGGCTGTAATGTAAGTTGGAGATATTATGATGAAAGAAATTAAAACATTTAATCTGTTTAAAATCTGTTTTATATGATTCAAAATTTATGATATTGCAAATCGGACTTAATAAGCTACAAAACGAGTAAAAATAAAATAAAAGCCATGTTGTTACTTAATATATATATATGTATATATTGACATATTATTCATACAATAGACTTTATAGCTAAATAACGAAATAAATGGACGGAATGTGAGATTCTTTATGAGATAATAAGCTTAAATTACGTAAATAAAACTACGCCGAAAACACACAACACAATACTAAAACTATGCAGCTCTGTTCACTCAGTTCGCTTGTGTGAAATATTGAAAAACATTCATCTCATGCATCGTTCAAGATTTATACATTATAACGTAATACCATTCAGTTTTAGCTCCCGTTATTTAAAATAGTACATAATTATAAATATTCTTTAATTAATTTTGTAATGTATTTATTTCCATTTTAAAAAAAACTATGTGACTATAAATATGTGTATATATTAAGAATAGAAAAACAAGACGAAAAACCTTGTGATTGCACTGTACGTGATGTAGTAGTAAACAATAGATTTATTAGATTCAATTCTAGTACAATAACATGTTAGGTTTATAAAAGAAGTATTAAAATGTGACCTATTGTAGAGCTCGCTTTTTCCAGTTAAATGCAAATTCACCTTAAGCTATCTTATACGCAGGCATAAAATGACTTAAATGTTATTTTTTTAACATAGGCCCAATAATCTTTAAATTAAGTCTACGTACCTAATTGTAATGATAGAACTGTCTTATATAATATATAATAATATCTAAGTGTTTATCGTTTGGTGGGATATTTAATTTTGAACATTACTACGAATACAAGAAAAACATAAATTTTGTATGTCGATAATTATCACATAAAAGTTAAGATCAAATGCTTCGTCAGTGAAAAATACTTTTAAGAGGCTACAAGTCATATTTCTATATGCAGTGGTAACAGCTTCATTTAAAAAAAAATCAATGGAATGATTTACAATAATGCAAGATTAACTTATACAAAATACCACGCATAATTGATTAGAACAAATTAATACATCATTGTTATGAAAATATCATCATTATTTTTCTATAGTCCAAGATCTCAGGGCCACCAGACGTCACTTATTTTTGATACCTGGAAAATGGTCGTCTGGCCAAGGTAGGCATGCGATCGTAGTTCATACTAACACTACTCAATCATACACATTTCCTTCGTCAGAAAATAAATGACGTCTGGTGACCCTGGGATCCTTCTCTATTAAGTTTATATTTTAAATACAACCATGGTACCTTAATTTTTTTTAATTCTTTTATTTTTACATAGGAATCACGTTTTTCATTATACATGTTGTAATTAGCAATGATTTAAGTGTACAAAAAAAAAAAATAGAAACATTTATTTAAAATGTATACATTCTTTAAATACTGAAGGAATTAGATTTTTTGGATACGCATGAGTAGGCCTGTGCTTAGCAATGGAACGTGAATAGGCTGCTACTTTCCAATTTTGTATAAATATTACTAGATTATTCTCTCTAATAATCGCTCGAATAACGACAACCGATGGAGAGGAATGGTTCTCGGGTGGCAACCTCGGTAAGCGAAAATTCTAGGAACGTGCTTTGTGGTATTCTTTGTGCGAGACCTATGTTCTGCAGTGGATTTGTGTTGGGCTGTAATGATGATGATTCCTGATTCGAATTTTACTTTAAGAGTAGTTAGGTTCGTTATAAAAAATGTTTTACTATAATATACATGTGATGGCTAAACCGACCAGTTGTTTCATTGATAATGAAATTAACTGACGTTTGGTTTGTAATGTTAAAGTTGACTAATAAGGTAAAGATTGGTAACAAAGGTTACAAGTTGTATAATAAATTAATCTTCTAATATTAAAGACTGTTACCCGCGACTTCGCGGTTTTAATTTTTTTTTGCGCGGAACCCTAATTCTTTTTCTTAAATAAAAGTAGCCAAATTTTTCCTTACAACTGCCAGTGAAAGTCCCGTCAAAATAGGTCCAGCCATTTCGGAAATTAGCCGGAACAAACCGACAGACAGACAAAATTTTATAAATTGTGTTTTTATTAAAAGTGCTATATTTACTTTCATGTGCATTTAGTACACGAAAGTAAATTTTTGACATTACAAACAGACACTTCAATTTATGTTAGAAATGTAATTTGTTAACGTTTGTTATTGTTTTACATACGTAAACGTTAATTAATGCAATCAATATAGTACATCGATTTGCCTTAACGGAAAACGTGTGCCTTCATATTGTATCATACAATAGTAAAATAGTACCTATAGTTTATACAAGGTATTCAATCTGTAAAAACATTCAGTTCGTTCCAAAATAGGCAAATAATGAAAATATTATTAATCAATATAAAAATTATATTGTTATTTAAGATACAGGCTTTTGTACACTACTTGTACAATTTGGTTAAAATTCAGCATTTTTTTAAATTTGGCAATATCGTCGTTAGCGATGGTATCTTTGAAAGTGTGCCGGTATTTATACCCTACGGCCGTCTACGTCACATCTATGCTATGTAACCCCATTTAATAATTTTTTTTTTCTATTTTTGAGGGGTAGTTTTATATATGAACAGAAGTATATAAGTATCACGATACCTAAAAGTAGCCCTCACGGATGTTTTTACATATTGTTGTATTATTGAAATAATTGACTCGATAAATAGTTCGCTTTCGGTATAATAAAATTTCGTATCGCCACAATCTTTAAAGATAAAGGCATTTTTATGTCTCCAGTATAATATTTGTTAGCGCGGCAAACGTATATATTTACTTCTAAATATTATAAAATATGAAATACCCTAAGGTTGCTTTTTTATTCAATTCATTACATAGGGTAATGCATTTTAGAGGCTGCTTTACTGTCAAAAAAGCAAATTAGGAAGACCATGGCTGCTTATATTTTAGTTAAGTTTCAAAGGTGTTAATAAATCCAGCTGACTGGCACCCATTGGTGATCTGTTGACAGCGAGTGCAGCGCGTCCATAATTTTTGAGTAAGTTGTATCGATGTTGTTGTTGACTATTACCAGGTCGATGTACTTTTCGTAATTTCGCTGGATGCGGGCACTTTCTTCTAGTGTTTTCTTCATATCTTCCTCCTGTATTAAAATAAAATATTTATATCGATTAGTGAAATTCCGACATAGCTCAAGCCTTAAAATTCATACGAACATAAGTCACCTACTCACTACAGGTATCACAGCATTGAAATAGTGTAAACTGCGGTAGCCGGGCACGAAGAATTTTGAACAAAGTCCTGTCTTTACTTGTCGGTGTCAGCGCACAGGCGGTGATCGCCATCATCAGATATTGCAAACCTTTTAGCCATAACAATTAGGCTTATTCTTGTGCGCGGGTTCTTTGGTTCATCTCGACATTGTTCTTCATTTTTAAACAAGAGTTTATTAGCCCTATTTATAATCGGTGATTATTGCTTGCTTAACTTAAGTATTAATTATATCTATAACTGTCTTTTTCTGTTGTTATTTTGTGAAGAGAGACAAAGAATTTAAAAAGCATTGCTTGAATTGACGTCGATTTTATGAGTGAGGCTATCAGTTCTCAAACTCGGTTAAATAGTTTTTGAGGTTAAAATTATTTATTTTTTTAATATTGTTTCGTATACCTTGTTAAGTTCTTTTTTGTTCTCCGTTATTGTGTTATAAAATGGAACCAATTCTGTGTACCTCATGTACGTTTAAGGCTTTTATGTCTTCGCGAAAGAAACTTAAAATGTCTCATTTTAGTGAAAGTGAGAAGCTAATGATAATAATTTAACATTGCTATGCTATTGCTGCGTAAGGAAATATCATACACCTGGCCTATTGGTAAATATCATACAAAACAAGATATGAAGGACAAAACAGCTGATATGTTGGGAATATAGAATCAGCGGTATTCAGAGTTTTAAAGGAATACGTCGAAACTGAAACCGTAAACAGTCTTAAAGTCCAGTTACATATAATATAAGCACATAATAAATATATTGAAATACTAGCTGTTCCCCGCGACTTCGCCCGCGTGTTAATTTAATTTTTTTGCGCGGAACCTTAATTCTTTTTCTAAAATAAAAGTAGCCCAAGTTACTCCTTATGACATCGGCTATCTGCCACTGAAAATCCCGTCAAAATCGGTCCAGCCGTTTCGGAGATTAGCCGGAACAAACAGACAGACAGACAAAAACTTTAAAAATTGTATTTCTGTTATTAGTACCGTATATACTTTCATATGCATTTAGTAAAAGGCTGTAATTTTGACATTACAATCACACACTTCAATTTTATTTATTTATATAGATTTATTCCCTTTCTTTCACTCTACTACTTCGCAATATTTTACAGATTTGCAATTTATCTTAACGTGTTTTTGATCTCTGGCATTAAGCAAAAAGGCCATTGTACGAAATCCTTTGTGTTCAGCAATCAGACTTTAGTAGAAAAGCGATTATCGATTAATCTTTGTGTTGTGACAGCGTCAGAGAAATCATATTGCCTATTTAGTAGGTGTTGTAAGAGGCGATTTAGGGTAAAGCCCAGAAGATTTTGTGCCCTCCGATAGATGGGGATATAATGATCTGGTATCCATACATACTAAATGGAAAT